AAATCTAACTCTTAGAATCTCTATAACTATTTGTATTCTCTATTTTAAAAATAAAAATATTTGTATATTTTGTATTAAATGTTTAATTCCTTATAGTTATTATTACTATAATATTTACAAAAAATAAATCCAAGCTTTCTTTTATTCTTTTTGAATCTAAACTTTTATTTGCTTATTAGTATATATATCTTTATGTATATCTTCTTATACTACTAATTATACCCTTCTTTTTATAGCCTTTTGCTTATCATATAAATAAGGTTTCCTTTTCTTCTTTATTCTAAGCGATTCTGGAATACTCTTTTCTTTAAGTTTTTTAAATAAATATCTATATTTATTGAAATCAGTATCTGCTATTCTAATAATAGTTTTGGTATGAAGATTGAAAAGGCAATAGATATTATTTCTATTTATTCCAATCATAATATACTCTTTTTTGAGTACTCTAAACTCGAATTTCTTAATTATTAAATCTAATTGCTAAGAGTTTCTAGCTCACACTCTACAACCAAATATTCTAAGTTTCTTAAAGTCAGACTATTTACTATATATAGCTTTATATAGCATTATTATTATAAAAAGCATTTCTACCTTTCTAAAAGATAATATTTTAATAAATAATCTATTCTTTAGATATATAGTATATTTAATAATGAATTCTTATATACTAAATTTGATATCTGATTTATTTAATAGTAATCTTGCTATAATATTAATATCTTAAATCTTTTTTTTAGCTACTTTATTTATAGAATACTTTCTAGAAAGTGAAGATTTGAATATTAATTCTTTCTTTCTAATCTTTATTTAAAAAGATATACTAAATTCACTTTTTCTATTATTTACTCTAATAATAACAACTTTGTAATTGAATTCTTTTTCAATCTAACTAATAAGATTTATCAATATAGATACAATAATCTCTACAGATTTATCTTTTATAAATTTGAGTTAAGTTCTTTTTATTATATCATCAATGATTACAATAAAATATCTATTTTCATTTTCAAAAGATTCTTGAATCCCTAATAAATCTATATACAAACATTATAGTTTTATAGATATACAAATAACTATATATTTATTGAAATACTTATTTATTCTTTTTATAAAACAAAACTTACAAGTTTTTCAATTAGCATTTTTCTTTCTTTTAATATAATATAATTCATTTAAAGCTTTCTTTAACTTATTTATTTGATTATAATTGAAATAATCTAAACAACAATATATAATCTCGGCTTTATTGTTATTTATATTAATCTCTTTTGTTTTTAAATTTATATTAATTATATATACTTATTGAATAAATAGTTATCAAATGATATAACTGTTATTGATATATCTTACAGCCATTTCTAACTAACCATTTTTCTAGTATAATACTAAATCCCTTTCAAAAATGACTTTTTAATCTGTTTCAGTAAGTATTCCAACTAAAATGAGTTGATTATTCTGAAAGTCCTTGATATATCAGATATCTCTCAATATAAAGTTTCTAATAATAGTAATTCTATATATAGTATTTATAGAATATATATTATTCACAGTTTTGACTCTTCATGGAATACCCTATTATATAATATTAAAGAGATTTTTAATAGAATTAATAAAGTAATGAGAAACTTTCAAATCAAGAATCCATATATTGTTTTGGATTTCAGTATATATTACAGTATAAGAATAAAAAGAACTAATATATTCATTTATTATAACTATTTATACAAAACTATTATTATTAGTCTTTTTATTTGAATATAAGGCTTCTCTAGTCTTATTATATTTCCAATAAGCATCTTACTAATATCCTTTTTTCTTATAGAACTTACAAATATGAAATTCAGTTTTAATAGCTTTACCAGAATTTAGCAAAATAATATAACCTTTCTCAAGTATATATTTTCTTCTATTTCCATAATATTCTTCACATCCTTTTCCATTCCTTCCTTAAGCTCTCTTATTATCTCTTCCTTTTATATTTCCTTACACAATATTAACTATTACTGAATAATTTATTATACCTCAAGAAATTCTTTTAATTTATTATAAAATATATAATATATTTCATATATTTATATTTGATAATATAATAAAGTTTTATTATATTTGCTAGATTTCTATATCTAGTAATATATTCAAAAGATAAAAATAAATCTTTATTTCGAATAGAGATTGTATTATTATAGATAATTTATATTAATAGTTGAGGAGTCAATTGAAGAAGAATTGAATCATTTCTGTTTTAAAATCGAATTGCTTGTAAACAAATTGTTATTAGAGATTCTGAGTATATTAAAGATTTATATTATTATTAAATATTAAAAGTTTTATTTAGATTCTTATAATATCTTCTATATCAATTATATATATAAATTGAAAATAATATATAGGAATAATACAGGAATTGATAATAGAGAATATAATTCCTATTTTTCTATCCCATTCAATAATATCGACTCAATCGCTTATTGGTTTTATACTTCTCCTTGTATACAGGGATAATACAAATACTACTATTATAGTAGTTCAAATAGCTTTATAGAAATCTATCCAGTTATAATCATTAAAAGTAACTAATATTCCCCATTTTGTTTGAACTATATCAACAATAATCTTGCTTATTATAATATCAAGAGTAAGAATAACTATAGAGGAATAAGAATTCGAGACTCAGAGAATACAGAGATATAAAATGAAGCTTATAATAATACAATACTTATAACCTATCAGAAGTAAATAACAAATTATATATAAGGAATAATATATTAAATATATATATATAATCTATATATCCAGAAAGTCCGAAAAAGAAGTTTTATAGTAGTATGTACATACTATACACGTACTACACATGTGATTTCCAATAACTATAATAAATATAAAAAAACAGATTATAATATAAGAACCTATAAAAATAATATAATAGATTCTAGATTATTAGATTTATAATAGTTTTAATTAATTGATTTAATGATTATTAAGAAATATGAATTTGAAAATATAAATTAAGGTGAAAGTAGGCTATTTACTGATATAAGCCATGTACTAATAAACCATGTTAATATTAAATATATATATTTATTATTATATTCAAGTCATTTAATCTAGCCTTTTGATATTGGATATTTTAGTATCTTAAAATAAGAGTATAATATACAAATTGAGAGGTTTATAAGAACATATATCAATTATATTTCAAAAGTCGAATTCTTTATAGTTTTCAAAGCTGTATATTAATAATCAATTACAAATCAGAATATAAAATCAGAATTTCGAGAAGTAGAACTAATTCTATTTGATTTTGAAGTAATACTTTTTAAACTAAATATTCAAATTCATACATCTACTCCTCCTCCTTCTAATTCAGATTTTTGGGTCTCTCAAATATCTTACAATCCTATAGAAACATTTTCTTAATTAATACTAATTAAATCTCAAATAAATCATTATTAATCAAGTTCTCCTATACCTTTATTTAAAATTATATTAGTTTTAGCTAAAAGTATAAAAAAACTAGTATATAAGAATATACTTTTAAATATAGAAATTCATATACTTCGAAAAGCAAATAAGATATTAAATAAATATTAATATATAAAAAAAACTCAATTATATTAAAAAAGAATATTTATTAAATAGAAAGCTATAGATATATTATTTCAATAAAAAGTTGATATTCAAATTCGATATAATAAGTATTAAAATGAAAAGAATTCTAATAAAAAAGCATTCTTTAATTAATATTATAATAAATATGGAAAAATAGGTTACAATATAAAAACCTTTCAAATTAATATAATAAATCCTAGATTATTAAATTCTTAATAACTTTAATCAATTGAATCAATAATTATTGAATAATATAAATTCGAAAGTGTTAATTGAGATAAAAGTAGTGTATGTATTGATATAGTATATGTACTAATAAACCACGTTATATATACTACCCTTTAATCTTTATAATAAATAAAAAACCTTTGAATTATACTTCTTTATTAGTTTTCAATTTTAGGAAAAAGAAAAAAGATATAATAATTAATATATATTATAGATTATTAATAATATTCCAAATTATAATCAAAAAACTCAAGCTATAATAGTAATATTATTATATTAAATATACAAAATCTTAATCAAAATTTTTAATAATAATAATAAAGAATTCTTTACTACTCTTTTCAAAAAAAGAAAATTGATTAGATAAGAAACAAAAAATATAGTAATAATAAAGGAAAAACCAGATTCATTATAAGTAAAAAGAATAAAGCAGATCTGAAAGTAAATTAATTCTCAAAGGGGGAGTAATATAACAATTTAGTCTTAAATCTTAATTAATTATCTATTTATTTTATTAAATAGAATAAATCATTTTATTTAATTTTGATTCTATTTTAATCCTATTCTAATCCTATCCAATAGAATCTATAAAAGCCCTTTTTAGATTTACTCTTTATATAATAATTTGTTATTCTCTAATTATAATAATTGATTTATTCTATTACTATGACTTGACTTTATTGCTATTATAGTTATAGTATTATTAAAATCCTAGTAAATAAAATCAATCTGAAATCTAAACCTTTTCCTTTTGGAACTATTCTATCTACATTTTCTACTGCTTATTATGTAAAAAATAATAAGATCAAGCTCGCTATATGTAAAGAAGACTATTAATTAAGAACTTTACGTTAATATTAGACGCTCAATTCGATACTAATGGAATAAAATGAATCACTTTGATAAACTCCATAGTAAATCAATTCATAATAAAATTACCAAAGTTAATAATTTCAAATAAATTTTTGATCAATTTTTGATTCATGTTTAATTATAAGATCATTCGAATATTTAATTCTCTAAATTGGGATGGAACAATTGGTTTATTAAAGAGCTTTACTGGTGGTCAATTCCGATCTGTCTTTTCTTCCATAAAGTGATCAATATCCCGACAATAATGTGATGCTCACCTACTCTCTGATTTCAATCGGCCTTGCGTGCGCTCACTCGCCATACGTTCTTCGCACCCAGTCCTTCGCAGCTTCCTTGATTCTCGCATCCTCGGCTTCCATATTCGCACCCTCTGCTTCGTCTTTCATCTTTTTCCATGGGACCAATGCAGCCTTGAATTCCTCTTCGTGGAAGTTGTCTGGCCATTTGTAGTTCAAAAGCATCTGTTTTACTTCCCCTGTGGTGGCAGAATCCGTGGTTAACGAAGTGATCCTTTTGTAATTACCATAAATTCTACAATACCTTCATCATATATTAAATAAATCGTTTTTAAAGTATTAATATGAATAATCTAAGTCTTTATACCTTATAAAGCTTATTCTAATCAATAAGTTTTTAGTGAATTTCTTGAATTCTGGAAGATTAATTGAAAGCTTTAGCTTGAAATAACAATTATCTATTAAGTAGAAAGCTTCTAGGTTTTACTTGCTTTTTAATCCCCCCCTCCCCCCTCTCTTCCTCTTCTTTTCCTTCTAAATTGATTTCCTATTAGATTTCAATAAAAAAATAGAAAAGTTCTTTTAAGTATTTCAATTAGAATCTATTAAAGATTACTAATCTTTTTATTATACTTCTATTTATTAAATTCAAATTTATTTGTATATAAATTGAAATTAGATTATATTCTTGTTTATATAATACATTCTATATTATATAATATAATAATATAGCTTATAATTTCATTTGAAAGCTTTTTTGTAGATTTCCCTTATATAATATAATTTATAAAAAGGATTCTATTCCTTTTTAGATTTTTAATTAATACTTTCTACCTATTTCTTAGTTTTTACACTTATTCTTTTTCTTTTCTTTAATTTTTATTTACTTTTTTGATCTTCTATATATATACCTTTTTGTTCACTTTCCTTTCAATTTTAATATTCGAAAATCTTGAAAGCTTTAAAACCTTTCAAGATTCTCATTTTCTTTTTTTTAATCAAAATTTAATAATAAATAAATCACAAAAAGAATTGATTTGATTTATCAATAACAAAAAGCTCTATTCATTACTAACAAATATATATATCAATATTGTAATATACAAAATAGAAATTTATATAAGAATTTATATTGAATTTATCTTTATCCAGAATATTAACTTTGCCACCACAGGGTTCTTTGCCCTGCAAAATCAGTGTCAGCAATCTCGATAAAGCGCAATCGCTCTGATCCCACAGGCAGATTCAAAAAATTGATAATTGATGTGTCGATACGATACTCGACTCTCAGCCAGCGAGACAGGGGTACTTCACTTCTTCTTCTCCACCCATTTCTCCTTCATCTCCAAACCACCAATTTCCATGCCTATAATCAGGTACTATGACCAGATCTCTATAATACGCAACCCACTTCTTGAGAACATTGGGAGCGGGCCCGGACGGAAAATGGCGATAGTAACCTTCATGAGTGTCGAGAGGAGCTTCGGGGAGGTCATATCGAGCGCTGAAATAATCGACCTCAAATATCTCGTCTAAGGTACGTCAACACGAGTAATCATCAATGACAGATAAACGATAGCTTACTAGTTTTGCAGTCTAAGATTAGAGCGTATCCACCATGATTGGCGGAAGTGAGGGGTATACACCATGACTCGATGTACTTCTCCTCAGGCTCCAGGAAGAACGGGTCGGTCCATGATTTGAGATGCATTCTTCGCTCGTTCTCTTCTTCGTCTTCCTCTTCCTCTTCATGTTCGCTCGTTTCCTCGTGATCGGACTCCACAGTCTGTGCGTCCCTCAAATAGAGCATGGGAGACATATCAGGACCAATTTTCCCCTTGTCGGAATTGAAAAGGGGTAGTTTTGACAGGACAGTGACGGTCTCAGGATCCATACCAGCCTCAATCCAGGCATCGGTGTCAAATGATGGGAGAGCGTGGGGTCCGCAACTGATATTGAAATGTTCGGGCAGGCTTTGGAAGCGCAAAATCAGAGTGTACATTTCGCTGAGTAGAGAAACGATCTCGTCGCTGTTGAAGGGTAGCGGTACCATGATTCCAGTACATCACTCAGTGATAGAGGTCTGAGCCGTAAACTGACTTACCAGGTCGTGGACGTTATGGGTAGATGTGGTGGTTGTGAATTGAGGAGGAAATAAGAGTTCCAAGTTTTGTTAAAGTGTCGGCCAAGCGAGAGGGTCGTGTAACCGATTTAAGTACCGAGGCCGATAACGATTATTTCTTCAAGACACTAAAAATAGATTTTTACCTGAGCTAAAAATGCATTTAGTATTTTGTAGTGTGTTTATAATGAAATCTCAGTTTTCTATTCATTTTGAATCCATTAAATTTCCAATTCCATTAAATGTCATCATATGCTTATAACCTACAATACATATGTACCGGAATAAACTTATTATTATTATTATTGAACACGCCGTATCATCTTTCTAAATACCACCATGTACACATTGAGCAGATACCTTTCTAACTGTACTTCTCGCTTATAATCGCGTACCGTTTCGTAACCCCTCGTATTCCTAAATATTGCTTGTGATAAGAACAAGTCTGGGTCAGAGTAAACCAAACTATACTTTTCCCGTATTACAAAGTCCCATTCTCGACTCAAACTCCCAAAATTTAAATTCTATTCAGTCAAGAACGACCTATTTGAGCCACCCAGTCATACTCGAACAATATTTCTCTCTTTTGTTCAAATCAAAAGAGAGATTTCTAACAGACGTCGATGACATGAAGGGAATTGTGGAGAAGAAGAGTCCCAACGGCACAGGCGAATCAAGGAATATTACCGAGACTAAAAGGAGAGACACATCTAGATACATCCCTCGAGGTGAGTATTTACACTATGGTTATGATGTAAGAAATGACTAACATCCTTTCAGAAGCCAGCCTTCATCTGATAGATCTCCCCTTGGGTATTATCAACCTCATTGCAGATAATCTGCCACCAAGCTCAATTGTTCTCCTTGGACTCACCTGTCATATATTCTATTCCCTCTTCTCTGAACAGATTTCCGAGACTTCCCTCAAAGTCCCAATTTGGAGTCTACCCACAGACTCCAAGCGATCTGACGCCTCCGAAATGGATCGTGAATTCCAACTCCACAATGTTTTAAAAGATTGGAGTGGATTAGCCGGGTACAAGTACTACAGCACAGCTGATCTGTATAGACTACAGAATCCTTCTCCATTAGCAAAACAAATGAAATGGATGGACGATGACATTTTCTCTGTAATCCGCGCTGCAATGAGTGTTATGACCATGGTCAAAGATTCAAAACGTCTCAAAGAAGAGGTTGAATTTGGCGCATTAACGAAGAGACAGAGAAATTTTCGAAACTCTATGAAATTAGCTGGTGGTCTGTTCTTCACATGTCCTCAACCTGGTGGCAAGAAGAAATATTCTTGGCACAAATTATCAGAGGATGAACGCCTCGAAATCACGGATTTGATGCAACTGTGGGCGCCTCGTGTGGATTCGTTGAGGTATGAGTTCAATTTGCACAGACGACTCCGTTGGTCACAATATATGATGACTAGTTATGCTGAATGGAGGGAATTGGTAGGATTTTGATCCATGGTCTCTGGACCGCCTGTAGTCTCTCACAGTGCCAATCTCGAGAAATATTGTTGGAAGGCTCCTAGAATGAAGCTTTTCGCTGTAGGATGGCGAATGGATGTATAGATTGATAGGACACCTCCCAATTATCAAATTTTTTAACAAATTTATTCTTTAAATATTTGATATCAGAATTCATATTTCGATTGTTTCATTTCTAGTAAATAATTATAACAACTCTCAAGATATACAATTTGATATATTGAAAGATATTCACAAATCCATTTTTGCAATATCCCATTATTTTGTACACCCACTCGTGCATGTGGAAGAACTACCTCTCTGGTTCGTATTTTCTTCGCTTTTTTGATATCACAGAATTGGTCAATTCTAGCTGGAATCTCGCATTTTAAAACCCCTCCCAAAAAGAAATAACAAAGCTCGCATCTCGACAGAATAACAGAAGCCAAATCCCGAGATCCGTACTCATTAGAATATTCCTTTCGCAGGAAGAAAATACAACGACAGGATGGACTTCTCACACCAAAGAAGCTGACTCACACAAAGTCGGTATCTCCTCCTGTGGTTCCCAAGTCATCATAGATCAGGTGAAGACAATTATAACTCAAAATGAACTTCAGTCCATAATTATCTCCTGTGCATAAAGTGTCGTGTTCACCAAATATATTTCTGTGAACTATGCTGTTTTTTGTGGTTCCAGGAAGTCTTGTTGGGTTCCAATTGATACTTCAAAGCTCTGAACACTGCCAATATGGCATATAACTTTATTGCACACTTTGAGATAAATTGAGTCGATTTGAGCAGCCTTGATGTTAATGGCTCATTTGTGAATTCTTCGTACATCTAGGATTTGGAAGTGCGAGTTCTTTCATTCTCTTCAGAGAGACACTTCAACGCTTTCCTTCCATCTCCATTCCATATTTGTTCTGTACAAATTGATATTCAACAATGAGAAGTCTCGAAACTGCTCCCTACACTCAGAAGCACTCTCACGAGAAGTATCATCTGTGCAGTTCCACGCCTGAAATTCGAGATCCAGATGCGAGTTTGCTTGCCCTATTCTATATCTATGACAGCATACACACGCTATGATATATGCGCATCAAAACTTGCTTTGAAGATCTGAATAAATTGGCTGAGATGGCTTTTGACAGCTTTCTAACGCATCGCATGCTCATTTTTATAGACAAATAATCCCTCCTCCTTTGTCACGTTCCCATAATGTCACGAGGCAAGAACAGAACAAGATGTTCCAGGGCTTATGGTATTGTTTTCGAACGAGAGTTTGCTCCGCGATCAGTATCAAAAGAAGCTTTTCGATTGATGATACATTGCGCGTGATTAGAATTGTCAAGACTTTACCTAGTCCATGCCATCGCGGGGGCTGGCTTTAGATTTTTTTGTCGTGCGAGTAGCCAGGCATTGGGCAACTTATGTTCTTTTCCTTTCGAAATTCGAGTGGTGATACTGGTATACAAATGTATGTTAGCTAGACTATCAGCATGACAGACAGCTATTCAAAGTTGTATCTGAATCCACTGAATGCCAATATCCAATCCAATCCAAGCACCCCTAACACGGGATAAACCCATCTAAAGTCCCACCACCAATCACCACCACCCACCCACCACATCACTAACGGTGATCTCCCACCCTCCATTCCCCACCCTATCTCCACCCCTTTTTTCATAGAAAATATATTTTTAAACTTCGCAGTATCTTTCAACAAACACACCCAAGCGGCTTTAGCTCACTTGGGAGAGCGCCAGACTGAAGTCCACTTCGGTTTCTACGATTAATCTGGAGGCACTGTGTTCGATCCACAGAAGCCGCATGCATTCTGCGAGTTGGGGTCCACCCTGACTTTAATTTCTTTTTTCACAATTTTTTGCTGCATGTTTGCTTGGTATGAGTAATTGTTGTTGTATGGAGGAGGGTTTTCTGATTTCGGGGGAGGGAGGTGTTTTTTGAATGAATGGATGGGTGGGTAGTTTAGTGGGATTTGTTTGAACTTTGAAGGGATGTGAGTGGATGAGAGATAGGTTTCTTATGGGGAGTGGAGATGTGGGGTGGGGTTGGAAGGGGAGTGAAGTAGCGAATTTGGGAAATCATCCACCTATGTATCCTATATCAGATTCGTACGGAGCAGAGAGATGGGATACGAGTACTCTGTGTGAAGCGGGGAGGGGCTTACTATCTAGATATTTATATGTGATCTATCGCTTTTGGTTGTATCTTTGGAATACACATAATTTTCGTAAAAGGGAGAAGGAGGGGGGAATGAGAAGATCTCAAATAAGTCTGTACATACATAGATAATAGATAGATAGATAAGTAGATTTAATTCTAATTAACATAAAATTTATTAAAAGTTCTCTGGATCATACATTTTACCCTACCTAGTATATCTACTATATCTAGTGAAGACATAAGGACATAGAGACACAATATACTCCTATATAAAAATGGATATCGAGATGACAATCCATAGAACGAATAGTAGAGTTCTAATCTGCACACTTCCACTTCCATTTCCATCCCAAACAGAAAAGAACAGAACAGCTATCTCTACCCAGGCTAGCCAGCATTCTCGAAAAACATAACTGTGCCATCTATTTCATGAGGCTTCATTCATTAAAAGGTATATCCCATCTCATCTCATCTATTACAACAACAACAATAATAATACAATTGATTGCTTCGTCTCATGTCCATGCAATCAGCATCGCGTTAGGTCATGTATATCGATTGAAGAACAATTCTACGCTGCTATCAAGACCCAAAGTCTTCGGTTTATGTTAGTTTAACTCATCATATGTTTTAAAGATGGAAGAGTACATCTCAAGAAGAGAAGATGAGGAGAGGGGGAAAAACTTACAAAAAGAAAATCATCAAAACACCAAACATCTTGGCAACCAACCAGCGATTGCCAGATACCCTCGACCAATATTTCAGTAATTCTCTCTGAGCCCCTTCAACATTATCGACCACATCTTCCGTATTCGCATCGATTCTCTGAATCATTTCGCTCTGTTCCGAAACCATCGTTGCCAATTGTCCAAAAATGCCCCCGAGTTCATTGATCGTCCTCTCGATCGCTTCGATCGCTTCTCCTCTCTGATGAATGTATTCGTTTTGCGGTTGCGCCTCTTCCATCATCAACAACTGTTGATCACCCACCGGATTCAAGCTTAACAAATCCTGACCCGGCCCTGGACTTCCTCTCGTCGGCGTACTATACAGGGGGCTCGCGGATTGAGAAATATTCGGCTGAACGTGAGAGGACACTGACGAAACAAAATTCTCGGTGCGGGAGCGCGAGGCTTGGATATTCTTGGTGCGCACTTCGAGGACGTCTTTAAAGTTGGCGGATACGTCGGTGAGTTTTCCTTGGAGCATGAAAACGACATTTTTGTTGTGTTCGCCTTCTTGGTCGGCTTTGGGATGCTGTGCGCGCGTGAGGCTTTGCAGACTAGAGATCTGTTGGTTCAGCGAGGAGAGATCTTGTTTGATGATGAAGGTGAGTTCGTTGATTTCGACGGGTCGGTCGTCGAAGAGGGTTTTGCGTTTTGCCACTATTTCGTAGATTAGCATTCAATTCTTTGCATCGTATTGTCTATCTATTTATCCTCCCAGACTCAACCTCCAAATAATAAAAATATCCAATCTTACATTCCGCCAACTTCTGTAATTTCTCCATAGTCCCTGTGATCCCTCTCCCTATCTCGGCCGCCTTCCTCGCAAATTCAGATCGCCGCGGTTTGCCATGTGTATTCGCATCGCCATTTGCAGCGGCCTTTTGGGAATCGGATAGGAGGGATTGTCTCTGGGCTCCGACTTTCGAGGAGGCTTGTCTCTTTTGTACTTGTGTTAGGACGGATCGGAACTCGTTTGTTCGATCTTGTATCGATGCGACGGCCATCGCGATGGTTTGTGTGGATGGATATGTGTGTGTTGATTGTCGCAATGGTTTTAGATAGTAATGCAGATGTATCGGTGAGCTAAGGGCAGAATGATTCTTCTTTGTTCGTGGCTGGAGAGGTGGTTGAATGTTTGGGTTTCTTCTTGATTGTGTTGTTGTTGTGTAGACCCTCGAGGCGCAAGTTAATTTAATTATTTTAGGGTTTTGTACAGGGCGTTAAATGTAGAATGGTGAAGACAATGGGAAAGTTTTGTTGAAGGAGTATGAGAAAAGCTTAAGGGACGTTTGGGTGATGTGATTAAAAAGTAATTCAAAGTTGTAATCTAATAAGTGTATTTGTTGATTGTGACGTTGATGAATGTAAGTAACAGAATAGGACAGCTGGTGTTTCGAGTTTTTGATTATTTTGCGAGCTTGCTTCAGTGTTTACTCCTGAGAATTCCTGGTGTTCCACGAACCCTGAAACGGAGCAGCTAAGCCTAACGTTCGGTGCTGTGTACTGTATTACATATCCATTGCTAGGAATTATTACTATTCCAGCCCTGGAAGGAGATAAGGCCACCCCCATCCACCATCCATCCCCTCCAAAAGGATGTTAACTGTGTCGGCGTCTGTGTCATTCTTGATCGCTACTCTCTCTGCCAGGCCTGTGGGTTTATTTTAAGAAAAAGCTTTTGATATACGAGTACAATACAAATGAAGATAAAGACCCTTTTGACATACTCCCGTATCATTCGTTCATTGTCGGCACATATTCATGAGACGTTGTGGCTGAGTTCCAACTCAACGCTTGTCTGTGGGTAAAGAATTCATCATCTCATCATCTCATCAGCGTCTGGTGATCCTATGCATAACTATCACTCGTGGAGATGGCCACGGGTGGACTACTTTGTATGTACCGGTACCTACCTAGGTAGTTTGTTTGTCTTCATATGGATGTGAAATTACGAGGAGATGAAATCAAAGTACTATATTAAGACGTTGTGCAAGGTTAGAGAGATGTATTCATTTGGCCGAAGCCACTTACTTGTCTATATAGGTACTGATGTAGTATTTCTTTCCAGCTTGGAAG